GCGTGGGGGTTTGGGGGTGGGCGTGAGGTGCGGTGCAATTCGGTGAGTTGGACAGGGGCAGTGGGAGTCTATGAGGTGGATGTCCTGCACCAGCAGCACACACGCAGACAACGGTATCAATGGATTCATAAGGGCTGCTGTGTTTGCAGGCATTGCAAGGGGGCTTCTGAGACGGCCTCCCGCAAACAATCTGCTTGCTGTCATGCAGGCGCACATAGGCAGCAGCCATCTTGGAAACCCTTGCCTGCATGATGCATATTGTCGTTCAATTCTTCAACTAATTGCATGGTTCATACATGTTATTCTGGGATACCTGTGAAGTTTCATTCATGCCTAGGCACAACCTTGACGGCATGCCTCTGACTACGGTATATTCAATATAACGGTCTTAGCCTCAACCCATCCCCTGCTGTTCAATCATTAAGCATCAGCACATTTCAAGCATCAGACACGTGACGCCCTGCAGTTCATGCAACGCGGGCTGCAAACATCACGATTGATCATCGTGCCAATACTTGCGCAGTTACAAGTTTGCCACTCGGCCGGCCCAGGACGACATCGCCATCATTGCAAGCAAGGCCCCCTTTGTCCGTGATGACGTCAGCAACGCCCCGCTCAGTGGCTTTCGCCTGACAGAGGCTGGCAACCCCGGGGGCCAGTCTTTCGTCGGGCTCATCTCCAAGAGCGCCGACTCCGACGCGTCCATCTTCCAATCGGGCCCTGGCAGCATCAGCATCAGGCTGCAGCTTGCATCCCCAACCGCAGTCCTGATCCCGTCCCCCACAAGGGTCTGGGAGCGCACCAACCTCGACGCCCAGGTGGTCATATCGAGGGCAGACGGGACTGTCCTCAGGACACTGACCAACAGCGATGGGTTCCTGCGGGGCACAGTGACCTCTGTTTCCATCCCCCCCGCGGTGAGAATGGCGTGGGCGCGTGTTGCTGGGGCGACATGGGGCATGGCAAGGCCTTTTGTTCGTGATTGGGAGCTGCCCGCACGGCCCGAGTGCTCCGGTTTTGGGTGCCGCCGCAACCCCGTTGGACCAGGCTTACAGCAGGCACCGCATTATTGCTGTGCGAGGGAGTGGGCGGGTGGGGCTTCGGCCCCCTTATGGAAGCTAACACTCTATCAACGCGCCTGCCCCATGTGCGTTGCTTTGCTGTGCACACGCTGTGCAGCCACGTGCAAGTGGCGCAGTGCGTGCAGAAGCTTGAGCCCTCTTCTGTGGCACAGCCCGCTGAATGGGCTGTCGCGCCAACCATCTTGCTTAGAGAATCTGTGCACTCGCACTCTGCATTGTCCTTGCGATGCTCGTTATGATGACTCCTTGCTATTACACCCTACGGCTTTCCCTACTTTTTCCTCGCACATCAGGGCACTTACTTTCTGTCCATACGGGGCGTCGGCCAGGGCGCCGACGCTACCACTGGTTACACCAGCTACGGCTCAGTCGGCCAATACAGGCTGACCGTTGCCGCGCGCCCCTTGAACTCGACCGGCACTATCGTCACGTGCTCTGCCCTGAAGTCCGTCCAGCTGCCACAGACGGCCGGCGGGTCATGCTCCGTGGCGACGCTGAAAGAGTCTGACCTGTACACAGCCGTCAATGGGACGGATGTGACTATCACACCCGCCCTGCCATCCGACCTGAGGTTCAGGACAGGTGAGCGTCTCATTTGGACCTTGAACGGGACCGGTGCTGTGCACTAACTGTGGAAAGGGAGCAAGCTTTGGTGGCTCGACGCCCTCATGCGTGCGCGAATGCTTAAATGTGCTGACCGCATCTTCTAAACATTGCACCTGTCCAAGCAGCCCATATGTTGGCCACCAATTACATGCTATGTGCTGGCTGCCAGTGCCTTGACAGCATTATATCACCTCTGCGCAAGGGGCAGCTCTGCTTTGCAAAGCATTAACCCGTTCGGGGTTATTATAACTAAATTCCTCTTCTCCCACGCACAATCATTTGGCCACTTCACACATGCCTTCCTGCACACCATGCAACACACACACTCACACACGCACACGCACACGCACACCATCAAAGGTTCCTACTCCCACTCCATCGCCGGCACCAGCGGCGTCGCCTGCACCGTCGCCTTCACAGTCGCCGCGGGCCCCTCCTGCACGTCAGCCGTCACCTGCACCCAAAGCACCAAGGTCGTGGCCCTGGAGCCCGGCAGCTGCAGCGGCGTCAAGATTGACCGGGACGACCTCTTCACGGGGGGAGGAGCAGACCCCACTGTGACGCCACCGCTTCCAGATGACCTGGTCTTCGGCCCGAGTGAGCCTAGCAGGCGCAACACTGGCCCCTGAGCTTCTGTCCAACCACGACGTGTCGAGACTTGAGCTCCTGCGTCCTCGTTGCTGAGTCCTGTGGGCTTGTAGATTGCGCACAATCTCAGGAGAAACCTGACCCTGAACTATGGCTCATCTCTCTGGCATGGTACCACAGGCAAGTTGAAGACGTATAAAGTCCTCAGCTCGGCTGATGCAAAGTCACGCTGCTTCTTCAGGTGAGTAGGATCGACAGGCTTTGAAGCCTGGGGCCAATCTACTGCAATGCGCCTGATGAGCAGATCGCCTGCATGCAATGGGCGATGTGAAACAAGACGCAAGACACCCTTGCATCACACCCCTGCATGCATATGCTGCCTTGTCAGCAATCATATGTGTGCACGCACACGAGCATGCCAACACACACACACACACACACACACACACATAAACACGTGCACGCGCTGATGCACACGCTCATGCAAGTGCTTCAATCTCTGCAACTGACCAGTCTTCTTTATTTGCAATTCTCCGCCATCTGGCCATTTCATGATAACAAGGCTTCAAGTCCAGCCGTGCACTCCGCAGTGCGTCGACCCGCCAGTATACCAATCCATGGCCAAGGGCAAGTGTGCCACCGGCAAGATCTCCAACCCCGCCGCCCTATTTGCTGCCGCGAGCATCGGCTCCACATATACGAGCCTGAGGCTCTCGCCGGCGAGCTCACTGAAGCAGGGCAGGCGGAAGGTCACGGCGACCGTGACCTACGCCAGCGGCGTGACCGTGAGAGCCACTTGCGACTTTGACGTGGACGACGAGGAGGCGCCGACCATAAGCCTCGTGACGAAGTCTGTCGGCGGGGCTTGCGCGTGGCCGAGGCCCGGCAAGGCCGCCGCGTGCTTTTTGCCCAAAGAGCTGGTGAAGGTGACCGACAACTGCCGCCCGCTGCCGGCCCCGGTGTTTGTCGGCTGCGAGGTCACGTCCAACGGAGCGGCCAGTGACTGCTACCGCGAGGCGGGCAAGGTGTGCATCAAGTACCCGGCCGCCAATGCGGCGGAGCCGCGGGTGGCGCGTGTGACGTTTGTGGCGGAGGATGGCACTGGGAATGCGTCCCCAGAGACACCTGTCATACTTACGGCGTATGGGGCCAAGCCAGGCTCTGCGGCACTGGGGTGCAGGCCGAAGTAGAATCGATCGTGTGGCATTGTGGCGCCACTGCTGCTGCCGCCCTCTGTCATCGCCTGCTCGCTTGCCTGCACTTCAGTATCTGTGATAAGAAGGCCGTGCTGGAGGTGTTGGCGCACTTGTGAGGGACCACAACCCTTTCTGGGGGCTGCAAAGCAACCACGTACAGTCGTCGTGCACGCATGTGCATACATGCTTGTTGCCTGCTACATATGAGGGGGTCTCATATGCAGGAGGTGGAGGGGCACTGATGTCTGCCTACCGCATTGCAAGC